ATCAAGCAAATTTATCTTTAAATTTTATCATATCAAAAAAGAGGAGATTGTTAGCCTTGAATTGATCCTTACTTTGAAATGACAAAACCTTAAGCTAAATAAGTTTGATCAAGATTTTGAAAAAGATTTATTTAGTACATGTTCTTAAGTTTTATATTTTGGTACTAAATAAATAATATGTTTTCAAAGTGTAAACAAACCTTTTCTTTGTTTTCATATTTCTCAAATCAAATTTATTTTTAAAGATTATTTATTTGAGCTTAAATAAAAGTCCAATTGTTGTTTTTAAAGTGAACTTATTCTTTTTGGACTTAATACAATTTTGATAATATTAGTTTTGAGAAATAGATTAACTTAAGAAAGTTGTTTTACAATAACAAAGTTTTCTAACATTGAAATTGTTTTATTTTTTTGTATTAATTCACAAAGCTTTAATATTTGAATTTTATATGGTTGGAAAGCTCTTTGAGTCTACTTTCTAATTGATTAAACAAAATCAAAATCCAAATTTTCTAAGAAAAGATTTTGAATTTTTACTTGACACTTTGCAGTTGTCTAAAAATTACACAATGGGTAATTTTGAAAATTTACTATAATTCGTATATATTGAGTTAGGTGATGAATTTTATATAGATAGAAAGCTCTTTAAGTCTATTTTCTAAATCTTCAAACGGTTATTAATTTTGATTTGTATAACTCGAGATATGATGAAATTAGTTAGTAAAGTACAAAATAGGAGACAATCACCCTGCTGGACAAGATCTATCCCCTCAAAAAGGGATCTATTGGTTTTTTATCCAGAATAAAAACTTTGCTCTAGGATTTAAAAATGGATCAATCACCCAAACTAGGGGATCAATCACTTGAAAAAGGGATTGATTGGTACCAAAAAGGGATCGATCACCTATGCCCAGAATTATTCCAATTGCTAGTTTATCAAGCTTCAACAGCTATTTTTTTCTTCCAAACCATCCCTAACGGCTAGTTCCTCATTTTCCCTATAAATTAGGCATCCAACACACCAAGAAAATTGATAAATTAAGAAAGCAAGATCAAACAAGTCATATTTTTATTCTTTCAAAGAAATCAAGAGTTTTAGAGCTTTAAAATCCATATATTTGTATTTGCTGTATCTAAATCATTGTTATTGTTCATTCATCAAATTTCTTTGTACTTCATTAGGCAAACACTCAACCTTGAGAGGTATTTTTAGTTTGCAAAAATCATTTGGGTTATCTTGTAAGCAAGATGTGGCGTATCCTCTTGATATTGTAAAGGTAGATGTTGCTATCTAAGCCTTAAGAAAAATATAGAGATTTAATATAAGATAGGTTTGTATTTCATAAGAGTTTTTCTTCAATTAGTGAATTAAAGCCGTGGTATGGACAATCAAGAAAGATGACGTAGGTACCTTGTAGAGAAAGATCGAATCTCTATAAATCATTGTGTTTGTTTTCTTTATCCCTATCTCTTTATTTTTATTATAGTTTATATTTGTTTATAGTTTATCAATCTATTGTTATTTGCATCATATTTTGATATTAATTTTAATTCAATTATATTGAAATCTAGTTTTGAGAACAAATTTGGAGGGATCCAATTCACCTATTCTTAAATCACCATTTCACTTAAAAAGCTAATAATTTTAAACAAAATTTATTAAATATAAAGTATTTGACAAAAAAAGATAATTAACATGTAACATCACATGCCATAATTAAAAAATATATTCTGTTTCAAATTTACATTAAGGTATTATTTGATATTATTTTCAAAATCACAATGGTAACTTAATCATCAAGATGATACTATTACTATAGTAATCTTATCACTCATAATTTGAAATTACTTTATTTGATTAAAAATTATTAATTCTTAGTAATTAAATATTACAGTGTTTGGTAATATTAAAAATCAAATATTATTTTATTTAAAAGTATTAAAATAATTATACACATTATAATAGTTACACAAATCAATGATTTCAATGTTATTTAAAGATAATAATTTGTATATAAAATATTAATAATATTTTATTTACTTCATAATAAATATAATTAAATTATTAAATTAAATATATATTTATTGATAGTAAACTAGTTTTTATAGTATAAAATTATGCAAAAAATATTTTAATTATAAAATAAAAATTATATATTAAAATAAAAAATATATTGTATATAAATTTTAAAAAATTAAAAAAATCACTCAAAATATTTTTAAACTTATTACAATGAATATTTATTTGAAAATATACAAATTATAGTATAAAATAATTACAATTAATTTAAAAAAAAAACTTTTAATTCACATATTAATTGAATATTATTGACTCTTAAATTTTATATATCATTTTATCTTGATGATTAAAGTTTTCTATCCCTTTAAATGGGAATTAAATTACTCTCTAAAATAATAATCTAATTATTTTTAATGATCTAAAATTATCATCATATAAAATTATGAAAAAATTATCAAATATGATAATTTAATCTTCATAAATAAATCGCCTCAGCAATCACCTCATTATAAACACTATCTAAAAGCATATTGACTTTAGGATCCAATAAACCACTATCCTTGCTCCTGTATAGGAAGAAGAAATCCACACGAGTTCTTGGACAACAAGTAATAACTAAAGAGTTGGAGAAAATTCGGTTCAAACAGTCCACGGGCCTTGCCTATGATGACTACATACCACAGGAAAGTAAGCCCAAAAAGACGGGCTGAAGAAAGACCTAGAAAAGCTGGGCTCATGCTCGACTAGGCTTGATTTGGGCTAAATTATACTAAAATAGCAACCCACATCTGCAAAGAGATTAGCGTAAAAGCTGAATCGAAAGACCCTCGATGGCAAAAGAGAAACTACAATTGTCAATAAATCACGACGTATATTTACTCGCTTTAAAGTTTAAACCATTATTTTGTATGGTCCTAATCTACAATAATTATTCAAAGATACCTTGAAAAAGCCTAGCAGGCAACTTTTTACTAGGATTCCTTTAACATTTGAGAGGAGGCGTTCAAATAAATAAGCTGCCCAAGAAAGTTGCTGGTATCATTGGTTCTGATTTACGCCCGAGTTCTGTCATTGTAACCCACATTCAGGCAACAGCCAATCTTTAGGGCTACGTGATCCAATACAGGTGGTGAGAAAAAAGTTTTGGGGAGGAATTATATGTATCTTTTGTTCTTGTAAAGTTTATACAAAGCTATGATCGCAACGTTAAAGGGAGCCGACAGTGGTTGGGAGTTATTCTGGGGTGTGAAGCCTAATGGAAAACACACTGGCTCCAAGTGGAGGTCACTGGCCGTTTGGAGCTGGACCATATGTGCTTGTCAATGGCTATGTAGCATGATACCATGTAAGTGCAACATCAATGGAGAAAGATGTAGCACTTGTGAGAGAGAGACATGGACATGGAAGCACTTTTACTAGACTTCATAAATGCTTTTATATTTACTAGTAGATGAAAGGATGCCAACTCTCTAAAAAAAAAGTATAATGGTCGTATTTAGTAATTTGCTTTTAATTTTTAATTTGATATATATGATAATTATTATATACATTTGCCAAACATTACAATTGAATTAGAAAATATTTATTTAAATATCCCCTAATGAATGTCTTTATGCCACTTGTTAGAATTAGAGGCTAAAAGAAAATTATGTGTTGACGGTTAAAAAGTTTGACTATTTACTATTCAACTTATAAAATAAATTGAAGGCCTTAACATTTTACATTTAACTAAAACCACTATAGTTAAAAATCTAATCAATGTGACTTTTTTTTAATATAAAAATATCGCATTATAAAAATAAAAAACAATTATATTTACTAAAATTTAAATTTCAAACAATATTAATTATTCTCCTCATGTATTATAACACTATTTTATTCCACCGTCCAAAGATAAATTCATCATCCAATCTAGTAAGTTTATCAACGAGGGGTGAAAAATACCAGTATGACATAACATTATTATTATTATTATTTTTTTGGGTGGCCAAAAGAAATGATATAACAATAGCTAATTACTATTGATATTTTTACTTAAAATTAATTGACAATAAATAAACAAATTTTTTTAATTAAAGATTAGAATATCTCAATCTTACCAATTAATTTCTTCATCTAAATTTTTTAGGTAGCCATGCCATCACCTTTCATTTAATTCTTTACACCGTTTATTTTCCAACCATAATGCTAACAACTTTAGTACAGTTTATTAAAATCAATTTTGAGTAGTTAAACCTTTACCAGACTATTCTAGAAAAACCGGATTTAGATGAAATTATTTGAACAATGTTTGCCAAAGAGAAAGAAAAGCAAACCCCAACAAATTGACATGTGCTGCAATATTTACTATGGCAGCAAACTAAATCACCAAACACTAAATTTAATAATATAAAATAGGATAGATAATACGACATCAACGTGTTTTAAAACAATAATAATTTAACAAAATTAAAAAATATATATTTCATATTTTTATTCCTACACATAAATTATAATTTTCAAACAAAATATAATATCAATAATATTAAATATTGGAATCATCGATGTACCAAACACTGCCATCTCGCAAATATCATCTCTCGAGATACATCATACATCAATCCAAAAACCAAAACACTGCAACACATAACAGTTACTAATTACTTTTTTTTTAACCCCGTCATAAAAAAGGGAACGAGAAGTACCAGAAACCACTAAAGATCTTGATTTGATTTGATACGAAGGGACTAACTGTTCAAACCGAGGAGCCGCCCTTTGGCAGCAGCCGCCAATCTTCATTACAAAATCTCAGACCAGATTTACCCGTTTATCAGACCCTCCTCCCTCGAAAACCGATTATAGAGCCACCAACCTCTCATTCAATTTTAAGGTACCAAAACAATCACCACACATATTCAACACAGCCGTCCAGAATTCCACTGGAAAAAAAATATGTAACATATATCTCAAAGACCTAAAGCTAAGCCCAGCTACATAAATTAATTAATGTGACATAAAAGGATTCTTAATACTAGGTATGGAAAAATATTGGTAAATTGTTAATCTGTCATCGTGTCACTTCAATAGGGTGCACTGGATGAGGCTGACTGCACCTGCAGCAAGTGGTGGTAACAATCAGCTGCAGTTGGCCTCTGCTCTGGGTTCTGATCCATGCACCTATTTTGCAACTCCCTCAGCATTTTAGGCATGTTCGTGAGCCCACAAGTGTTAACCAAGTGGCCTACCCCCCATACATCCACTTTCACCCCATGTAACCCCCTCCCCATCTCTGGAGCGTGCCTTCCACCCGCCTCCGCAGTTACCGCTGGGTGAGGGTTTATTTGTGGTGCAACCACTGCCTCCTCGAACCCGCAAACGAACCATTCGTTTTCTCTGTCGCTCCTTCTAGGCACTTTGTCCCAGCACAAGTCCCTGTGCATGAAGCATAAGTCATGCAGAGCTACCAATGCTTTTGTCACGTACTTGAGAGCTTCCACAAGCTGGTCACAGTTTATGGGCCTGGATTTGCACCCTCTGGGCTTAAACACTAATGTAAGATCCTTCTCAGATGCCCGACAAATAAATTCAGAGTGTGGAATTCGATGATCCAAGATGTTATATATTTCTTTCACTGCTGCCCATTTTTTCTTGCTCGAGAATGATCTTATCACCGTATTTGGTGTCATTTCCATTTTACTTCCATTCCCCAAATCAATTCTTTCAAAATCACTGAATAGGAACTGCTTGTAAGAGCCAACATTATTGACGTTATTGAAGCATCGATCAGCCAGCAAAGGTAACAGGCCTGCTATTCTACAGCAAGGCACTAGGGCTTTTAGTCTCTCCGAGGGGGAGGATAGATCTACTGAATATAAATCCGTCCTGATAATGCGATCTTGTGACCGGCTTAATGCGCATAATGTTACCATGTAGCCAACAGCATAATAGCCTAATAGATACGGAAGATCCATGTAAGTCCATAGCAGCTTCTCCACAATAGAAGATGGTGGGTCAAGTTGCCCTTCCCTCAGTTGATCAGTCTCCTCTCCCCTCCACAAGCAAAAATTTCTAACAAAACCTGTCACGTTCGGCCATTGATCCTGCAATGGCTCAGTCAATGACGAAGAAGGTTTTCGAATAATAACCATTTCCACGGAACAAAATTTGGACACAACCCTATTGATGCAATCATCCCAAAGGCCAATATACGAGTCTCTGCCTGTGGCAGTAGCTGCACTAAGACTAGGGTTGGTGCGGATAATTGGGCTCAAAATATCATATAGGATAGCTCTACAATCTAACAGTTCATTAGAAATAGTAAATAAAGCTTCTTTACCAGGTGGCAAATCTCGGTACACATCTCTCCTTAGGGGAAATCGGTATTCCTCGGGTAGTGGCTCTTGTAAGTGCCATGAAAGCTCAAACAAGCTAGGCAGTGTCGTTGGGGGAACTCGAAGGCACCCCACATAGTAGTCTGTCGGATCTTGGAACTCCAATGGAGGCATTGCTGTAGCAACCAAAACAATAATCTCATTAACGCATGCATGTATCCAGAATTCAGTACACTAGCAACAAATTTTAAACATGATAATGGCTAATAGAAGCACTTTCTCCTAGGCAGCCATCAGGCAGTCAAGACATTCGATTCTAATTCAACAAGGTTCAAGCTCTAGATTGCGTCCTTAGGGAAAGAAGAGGCTCAATGTTTCGTAAAATGAACAATAGTTTTAATTGGACTCACATCTAATAGAGGGTTCTGCAAACGGAAGCTGAGCTCTTTCAATGAAACCTGGTGTCACTAGAGAGAGAGAGAGAGAGAGGCTGACTTTTAGATTGAAATTTCTGAACAGTTCCAGAATAAGAAACATTAACAAATATGTTTGTACCAGAAGATGCAGAAGCTGCTGAGGAATTTCTCCTGCCAAAGACTTTCACTTGCTGGCCATTAACGAATCTATCTATAGTGAAACCTTTTAGAGGGCCATCTTCAAAGGCTTCCATTGTGCAAGCTACCACGGCATCATCAAAGAATGTGAGTTCATCTGCATTCAAAAAGCTTGAACCTTGAAGTCTCACTCTTCCTCTATGGTGCTCACCTTCTTCTGCCCATAAACTAACTGACTCCTCCCATGTCATTCTTATCTTCCCAATTCTACGAAGTTCCTTTGAAGAAGAAGAATAAGGGAGAGCAACACCAACGTCTAGTGAAGTGTCGAATCCTAACAGGCTTCCTCTAGTTCCATGAAAGAAGGTATCACCTCCACTAGTTGTTACCAGTTGTTTAGTCCTCACTAAAGGAGATAACATAAAATAACACCAGCGTCTTGGTTTAGCTATATTGAGAACAAAAAGAAAAAAAGGCAAAAGGATCTTTACTTACCTGACAGAGGAAGTTCATCTTCTTTGAAAGGAGGGGGAGGAAGCAGAGCTCTAGAACCAGAAAGAATTGGCCGAGCATCATCACTAGAAGCAATTGCAGAAGCTCCTCTGCTTTGAGAAGTTCTCATGCGAGGCCCCATGAACTGAGACAACTCCTCAAAGACTTCCTCATCAAAGGAAGCGGGCAATCTATGCAGTTTCCTCTCGTAAGGAGAAAGTCTGAAGTAACTCTTGCCAACTTGTTCTTTTTCACCTCCTCTCTCCCATTCATACACTTTCCTAAACTCACCTAGCATATTATCCCACTTAGTTCCAGCAGTTTTGGCATCTCTACTGATCCCATGTTTGTTTAAAAACTCCGCTACTGCCCTATCTTTGTCAGCCCTAGTTTTGCTTCTTGTGGATTGGACTGCAGCATCGCTGCCTGTAACATGACCGGTCTCTTGGTGAACAATTCTTGAAGAAGAGCCCGACGCATCAGACCCACCTTGATATTGAATCCTCCAAGCCCTTGCTAACCACAACATTTCATTCGGTTTCCAAATGGGGCTGACATATTTCCCCTTTCTGAATTGGTTATGAAATTGCTCTCCTTCTGGTTTGTTGGTTTCTTGGCCTGAGGTCGTGGACGGGAGGGGAGAGGAGGGTGGAGATGAGGCTGTGTCTGAGGAGGAAGCGGCTGTGGTATGAACTTGGGATTGTGGATTTATAGGGTTTGTGGTCGGTGACGGGCTTGATTCGCTGGTGATTATAGCCATTTGAGTTTGTGACTGTAAGGAAGATGGGGATGGAAGTAGTTTCCATTGGCCACTGTTGTATCGAGGTCTCTTAGGATTGACTGACTCGTATTGTTGTTCATAGGGAGAAGTTGTACCAGTTGGGACATATAAAGGCGCCGAGATGAAAGGAGGTCCAGTGGCCGTTTCCACAACAGCTGATAGTTGCTGTAGATGCTTTTGCCCTGATTCTGAGGACTCCTCAAGGGCCTCTTTGGGAGAAGACGAGAGTTGTTGTTGTTGATGAGTTTGCTGGGGTGTTTGCTTCTTGGTTGTATCTCCTTTGTTGTCACCCATCTCAAATGGGCCCAAACAAGAGATAGCCAGAGAAAGAAAAAAAAACCTTAGACAAGAACAGGAACAGGAAGCACAAGCACCATTACTGTGGAACTAGCTTGGTTGAAGATAATGGTCTCTCTCAAAGTCTTATCTTTGTTTTCTTGCCAAAACTCCAGAAGGCTTTTTGTGGATTCTTTTGGACTTTTGATTGCCAGCGTATCTCCCAATGGGAAAGTTGAAAAACATAGGAAATCATAGCATGCTAAAGCAAACATCTAGGCCAAGAAAGAAGTAGCAGAAAAAGTCGAGATTGTGGAGCTGCCGTGAATAAGACCCTTCAGTTAATTATCACTTAATACAACCACACATTGTTATTATTGATGTGTGATTTTGACAAGTAAGAGAGAGCAGAGAGAGGGAGAGTATCAATTTGTACTAATAAATAAAGTTAAATGCTTAATTGGAGAATAAATATTCGAGTGATTGACAATTCAGAATTAAAATTTTTATTTTATAAAAATAAAGATTAAATATTATTGATCCGTAATAATATAATTTTTTTAACAAAACCCACACGCTGTTAATTTGAGTTGTAATAAAATTTTAAATGAATATAATATTATTGAATGAAAGTATATTTATGTTGATTTATTTATTTTTAAAATTATTCATATTTAATTAATAATTGTTAGTAAAATTATTTTATTTATTTATGTTTATTAATTTAAATAATAAATTATTTGTATTTAATTTATATTCATTTAATTAAATTAAATAAATTTATTTTTAAATATTAAAACAACATATTTATAAACATATATAAATAAATATATTCATGAACAATAAATAAATTATAACTAAATAAATTTAAATAAACAAGCCTTAAACAAATATAAACGAACTCAAATAAACATAAACAAACCTTAAAATAAGATTATAATAAAAAATAAAAATATAATTTTATTAGTATTATCATAAACGAATAGCAAATAAATAATAAACGAATGAATTTTAAATAAATTGTAAACAAACTTATTCATGAATATAAATAAAAGAACAAATAACTATTCATATTTAATTTATTTAATAAACAAATGCATAAATAGTATTTAAAATCGTTTGTTAAGTTTAATAAACGAATATAATCGAATAAAAATTAAATATGTTCACTAACAATTCATCAAAAACTCTATTTGCTTATACATCTAAATACAATAAAAAAATTAAATTTAACAGTTATTGATTTATAAAAAATTAAATTTCATAATTTAAAATATAATATGATAATATAATATAAATATGACGTAAAACAATAAATTTTAAAATTTTAATAATTATTATATATAAATTTAATAAAATAAAAAAAATATTTTATATTTTTATATTAATATAAATTATAACACATAATTTTCATATAAAATTACATAAAAATATAATTATATTATACTAATCTAAAAAAAGTTAAAAACTTTATTCTTTCACTCTGATTTTCTTCTCCCTCTTTTCTCTTTACGAGTTCTCTCTCACATACCCATGACAACTCAGAATTCGGTGCCAGACTGCCTCCTTCGATCGTCACTGGCCATGCCTGAGCTAAACTCAAAACATTTGTATTGTCATTCTTCTAGCCACGTAGATGTGCTGCCATGGTGTTATTAGGCAAACCTTCTGAGCCATGTTTAGGCTTTTGTTGACTGGTGCTGGAAGTCGGGGGTGAGGAGGAAAACAAGATTCTTGCAAAGGTGCACTCCAGAGCCTCCCCCAATGCTTGAAGGTATCTTGAAGATGATTCAGAATCTATTGTAGATAGTAATTCAAAAGGATGAACAAGTGGATCAATATCATTTATGTTTCAATGATCACAGACCACCTGCGTAGTAGATGATGATGGCGGATCACTGGCTGACTCCAAACTTGCCTCAATGACCATGGAAAGCTAATAGTCATTATCGGATGGCTCACGCCGAAATGTTCGTCCCCTTCCATGACGATTATCTTCATTACTTCGACGATACCGAAAGCTTGTTGGTATCTGTAAAAAGTACAATTAATTAACAAAATAACAAAGAAGTACTGACTAACACATCTACAAAAGAATATATCAGTGAGAAAATTCAGCTTGTAAAGAGTCCACTAATTAGAAGGATGATACATACTTGTAAAGCAGCACTACCTGTGCACTAGACATGCGACCTCCATGTTCAGTGGTAATATACCTATGAAAGGATATAATAGAAAAAAACATAAAAACTGAATATGAGAAAAGAAAACTTAAGCTAACTAAGGACACGCTCAAATAATAAAAAAGAATAACAAAATTTATATGCCCCAACAAGTCACTCTTAGTTCAGCTTCAGATTGAAAGACAATAAACTTTTTGGCAAGGCAAACCTCATCCTCACATAGGTAATGTCCTCGGCGAAAATGAATCTATGGCAGACAATTTTCAAAATTCCATTAACTTTACGAGGAGGAAAAAGAAAAACAAAAGAAATATAGAGGTCATCTCGCCTCAAGGTCATCATAATTCTTGTAATATTCATATTGTCCTGGATGCTGCATGCATTGAACATTAAATATGCAAAAATAAGTCCACTTGTTTTAAGGTGTATCATAAAATCTGTACCAGGAATGGCCTCAGTACCATTGGCATATATGACATGTATAGTGTTCTGTGGACATGTTTGATTATAACTCGTTATTCCCATAGCATTGGGTCTTGCGGAATTCACACATTGGATGCCTCATGAACCCACCTCTCTTATAGTTCCATCCACCTCAGAATCGCCTTCTTTATATGTTCATTTAACTGTGCTCTAGTATTTATAGCTTTTGTTTACAAATAAACACCTACATCGCCGGCAAGCGATGGTCGGAAGAGGCAGTCCGACGTATGAGTGTCTCAGAGAGAGGGATAAAACTTATATAAAATTTTTTAGGATAAGTTTTTGAAGTTTTATTTTAAAAATGATTTAATAAAAATTTTAATTAAAAATTTAAATTAATAAATTGATAGAATTTAATATAAGATCCATAATATGTAAAAAAAATTATTAAAAATATTACTTATAATTCAAATTTGATTTATACTTATTCAATGATAAAAATTTTATCAATATTTTATTAAAAATATCTATACAAAAATATATTAAAATTTATTAAAATTTTTAAAAAATATTATATACTTAATCTATAAAATGATATTTTTAATTTATTAATTTTGATTTTTAATTTTAATTTTTATTTAATATTTTGAATAAAAATTTTCATGAATTTTTTTTAAAAATTTCATTTAAATATTTTTCCTAAAAGAAAATTGGTAAAGAAATAAGAGGGAGAAGAAAATAAAAGTAAAAAAATTAAATTTTTTTACTTTTTGTATCAGTCAGCGGCTGTTAGTTTAATTTTTTTGGTCAACTGTGTTTTTTTTTTTTCAGTTCAGAGTTAACGACACATATGTTTTACTCTCTTTAAACTGTTAAAAAATTTTCACATTGTTACGGATTTAAAACGTATAATCTTTTATTTGTATCAAATAAAATATTTAATTTTAAATTCAATAACAATCCAAACATTAATGCTATTAATAATAATAATATAGAATCGTTATGTGCATGATTAGAGGTAGAAGGGTCATGATTGTACTGGCACTGCAAAACGCGGCTCCTACTTTGTTTTCTGGAGAGCATTTATTGTTATTATTTTTTAGTTATTGAAAGATAGAAGAGGGAAGGTTCCGGCTTCCCGCGTCAAGTGAGGGAGGGAGAGGAGACTCTGTCTGAGTGTGCGGATCAGCGTGAGAGAGAGTGTGTGCATAGGTTTTTGGTTGCTGAGGTCTCCATCGATGTGGACACTTCGAATCCATGCCCCTGCTCCAATCACTCTCTCTATGGGCATTTCTTTTTGCCTTATTTTTGGCTTTTCTTCCTTTCTTTCTTCCCTTCCTTAACAACTGGATTAGATTAGCATCAAATTTTTATAAAGGAAGATGCGCTGCCTAACATTACTTTTACTTGGTAGACTAGACCTTTCTTTATTGTTAGAAACTAAGGTTTCAAATTTTTTATTAAGCTTAATTAACATTTTTAAACTTTTTTTATAAACATAAGATAAGTTCTTAATTCTTATTTCAAATCAATGAATACTAATTCATACTATTAATATAATAATTAATTAATAGTTTTATGTCTTTCTTCTTGAGCATTAATTTTTCTTCTACTTCTTCTCCAACTTCATTGATTATTGATTATAAACTTTTACACTTTATATAAAGTATTATTGATAGTAATTATACAAAAAAGATAAGACCAATCAAAGCAGTACTATAACAATAAACTAAATTTTATATCTAAAACCAACCAATGCAATCAAAACCATAAAAAAAAAATATTGACTTGTATAAAATGTGCCATGGTTATTTCAATTTGAGCATTTATTCTCAAAAACAGTATCTTGGGTTTTTCCTAAAGAATGTTAACTTATTCTCTAGTTCTAATAGTAGGAGCTAGCATATATGTAGCGTTAGGTAATGGACCAAAAACTTTTCAATTTTTTAGATTTTTCTGTTGATAAAAAAAAAAAGAGAAAAACATAACTTTAATTTTATTTTACATAAAAATTTGAAGTGAACAAATTTTTTTTTAATTTTAAGATTTGGGTAGATTACAAGTTTGAAAAAAATTAAATTAGATTTATCCATCATTTCTAAAAATTAATAACAACAAAATCAAATTTAAATTTTACAAATAAAATATTTTATATCTTATCAATTTAGCTAATGTGTTGACCAAATAGACCCTCAATTAACCACAAAGATATTTCAACCAATAATGAAGTAGTAAACTGTTGTGAAAACTTGGGCCCTTTAGAAGAAGGTGGGATAAATGAATCGAACAAAAAAGTAGTAGAAGATCTCCATTAACAGCTCTTTCTTTGAGGGGTTGGATTAAAAAAGGAAGGGGAAATTAAAAAAAAAAAAAGGCAAGGCTTGCAAAAAAATATTTTTTTAATCTTAAATCACATCTTCACATTAATTTAATTTAATTTTTTTTATTTTTTATTTTTTACATAAATTATATCATATAGTTCTACATCGATGTATTTGCTCTAGGACATCTTTCTCCTGAAAAGTTTTTTATGAATCCCATAGAACTAAGATTTGCTCATCCTCTTATACAATGATAAATCTCATGTAACAAAAGTTGTATGAATCAATGAAAATTTTTAGTACTAAAATTTGACTAAAAGCAAATATCTCCTACTTGCATTCATGCATCATATGCACCAATGTTGTTTTCTTTATAAAAAAATCATAAAAATGAAAAATAAAATTTTCAACACATGACATTCTGATTTTTAAAAATTTATGATAATAAAAGTTCAAAAATAGCTCACCCACTA